TTCTCAGGAATCTGAAGGGGAAGGCAACGTAGGGGCTGGTGGGCGGAGCCCCCCCCTCGCCCCCGCCCCGCCCCGCCTGGACCGAGGAGAGAAGCTTTGTCCAGTTTTCCCAGTGTCCCAGTGTGAGGGGCATTTAACACCCTTCCCTGCCTTCTGGGGCCTAGTCTGTGAGGTGGGGGCTGAGTCACCCCACCCTTCCAACTTCAGCAAGCCTTCCCTGTACCACCCCACCTTAGCCTGCAGGTCTAGGGTAGGGCACTTTCAGGCCAGGCTGGCTCCTGGATGCCCAAGGCACCCCTCCCTGTGGGCCTGGTCTTGGGCCTCCAGGTTTAGGACACTGTGTCCTCCCCTCCCTGAGACCCCATTCATTTACCTCCAGGCCCCTCCCTCTTCCTGAGGTGGGGGCGGGGGGGGGCAGGGCCCTGGAGCCACAGCTTTGACTTCTGGAAGGTGCACTCCTGCTACCACAGGAGAGACAATTGAACGATGATTGTTCCTAGAAAAGTCAAGGGTTACTGTCAGGGGCAAGACGCACCCCCGCCAAGCTGTCCTCACTGCACACACAGGCTGAGTTCCCTGTGCCCGGCAGAGAATGGAGCTGTGTCTGGTCGTCTGTGGCATGTGTGTGGCTGTGCCTGGCTGGGCAAGGGGAAATACGGAGTGTGAGCCCGTGTGTTGGCCTGGTCTCTGCCCCTTCCCAGCCTCACTCAGTCATTTGGTTCTAGAACTAGAGAGCCCTCCTCCCTTCCCGTTTACACAGCTCAGGGCCAGGCTTGGACCACCAAACTGACTTCTCAGAGGTGGACGAGCCTTGGCCTCCTAAGAGACAGGCCTAGCTTTCCTGATTTTCCCCTCTGGTTTCACAGCTTTTTTTGTCCCTTCAAAGGTCATAGGGGTAGGGATGGGGCGATCTAAGGATCAGTGGCCTGTATGTGGAGACTGAGACCCCAAGGGCCTAAGCCTGTGTCTCTTCCCCTGCCCATGTTTGCACCCCCAGGCCTGCCCTGGGATTTTGGTTGAGGTCACACAGTCCAGTGTGACACCACTGAAAACTGACCTGAGCCAGGGCTCCAAATGACCTACTCCCATCCTCTGTGATACAGTGGGAGGTAGGGGGATTGGGCCCCAAAAGGGTAGACATTAGGCCAGGTTCTGGATCGGCCATCTTTATTGGAGACCATAACTCCTACTCTTCTCTCCATGCGGCTATTTCCCAGTCATTGGATGTTTAATCAATGACCGGCATTAGCTGATAAATGGCAGTCGTGGAAAAGGCAGATCCCTCAGACAAGACATGGATTTTAAAATCCTGGTTTTGCTATTTGTAACCGTGGGCAGGTGTCTGAGCCTGATGATTAAAAAAGCATATGCACATAGAGCAATTAATGTGGTGCCTGACATATAGTAAGTGCTCAGAAGATGTTGGCAACAGTTGATATCACTGGTACCTACTTAGTGCCAGGCTTTAGGCCCAGAGCAGGTAGGAGATTTTTTCCTTACCCTCAAAGAATTTTCACGGGTGGTGGTAATGGGGGGATGGGGAGACAAAAGAGCAAATAAAAGCTATTTTTGTGCAGTGTGGTCACTGTGGCCACAGGAGGGAATAGATGAGGGGCCCCAAAGCCTGGCCACGGAGTACAGTCGGTCAGTGACGCACTGCAGAAAGGCCCCCTGGCAAAGGAAGCTAGGGAGACTGAAAGACAGTCTATGACCTGCAGCCAAAAGGAGTATCTATATCTGCCCAAGGGTGTAATTTGTTCTAACTTGCACAAATGCTAATGGTGGTCCTGTAGATATGAGCCAAACTTAGGCTGGGAGTCACAGGTTCCCAGTGGAGGTGACATACGCTGTTGGTCTTCAGGGAGGTGTATTCATGAAGGGAGGGAGGTGTATTCATGAAGGGAGGGAGGTGTATTCATGAGGTGAGCTTGATTAAGGCCCTTCTGGGCAAAGGGAGCGCGCAAGGCCATGGAAACTCCAAGGGGGAGTTTTGGAGTGTCTGAGGGATCCACTAGTGTTGGGGATGTGGCAGGGGGTGGGGGGGACTGGGCTGAGCCCTCTGGGCTCTGAGGAATCTAAACCTCAGTGCAGATCTGTACATGAGAAGCCTCACCAGCACAGCAAATCCCAGAGGCGAAGAGAACAACTTTGGTGCCAGTCTCACTTCAGTTTGCTCATCTGAAAAATGGGGTGATGCTACTGCTGGGGCTGATGTAAGGATTCAATGAGATTACACGTTAGCTGTTTAGCACAACGCTCTGCCAGGGTATGGGCTTCATAAACGCCAGTCGTAGATATTAAAACCAGGTTCCAGGAGAGCTGGTTGCAGGGTACTGGTCTGACATAATCCTATCTAGAAGACAGGCCCCTCTCTGCCCTAAAGATGCTGGACTCTTAAAGGAACTTGCTTCCTGAATCTAAGCTGATTGATTAAATAACAACATGAAACTTTGTTCCTCTTTGGAGGCAGGGAGAAAGGAAGAAAATAGGGAATCAGGGTGGCTTCACTTCTTATGGAAGGGGACTGGGCTGGGGATGGTCTCCCCCAAGGCCAGGCCTCATATCCAATCCTTCCTGGGTGTCCCCCACTCATCTCATTTATTATGGCGGAGAATTCTGCGTGGATAGTTTGCACATGACATTCACTGTTCATGTTTCAGTTTCCATGCGGGCAATTCTGACCCTCTCCCCTCTGGTTCCTACCTGGGTTGGATAGGGGAGGGTCTGGATCTCCCTCCAGTCCAGAAGCAGGGGCAGACTCCAAGATCCACCCTCTAAACTGGGCCAGGCATATGCCAAAACTCCTTCTCCGACAAAGTCAGCACTGGGATCACCTGGCTCATCTCCATTGCAGCCTGCAGCCCCTTGCCTTTGCTCTTCTGAGATGGGGGCAGAAGTTGGAAGGAAGGAAGGAAGGAAGGAAGGAAGGAAGGAAGGAAGGAAGGAAGGGAGGGAGGGAAGGAAGGAAGGAAGGAAGGAAGGAAGGAAGGAAGGGAGGGAGGAAGGGAGGAAGGAAGGAAGGAAAATGGATAATTAATAGTGATTCCCTAAGGTGGAAGCTACTACTCACTCTCTCCCCACCCCCCAGGGATGCCAGCATGAAGCTTCTTTTAGGTGTGCAGACCTGATTCTGCGCTGACCCTCGGCTTCAAGAGCTCTGCAGGACTGAGCTTCATTTCTTGGGTCCTAGTCCTCTGACGTCTTGCTGCTAACTCTTGGGGAACAAGTGTCTCCTCACAGTGTGTGCTTCAGCTTCCTCAGAAAAGGTAGATGGAGGTGGACTAAGTGTTTGGAGATCCTGGAGCACCTAGAACTGGGACCCTCCCTCCTTTTACTTTGCATAGTCAGTGCCAGCAGGGTAACTGACACTTGGTGTGGGGTCTAGAATGTCTGTCTGTAAGCAGTTTAGGGGTGAAGAGTGAACTGTTCCCAGAGCAAGTACCTTGCTTTCGTTCACATGTTGCTTATGTTGACTTTGAGGAAGGGTGCTGGTGAGGAGAGGAAAGGCTAACCGCCTCCCCTAGGAGCCATTCCTTGAACATGGCTAAGGGAGGACACCTCCAAATTTTTGGAAGGAAGGGAGCAGGTATCCATGATATCTGGGAAGCAGCCAGTCCCTATTGCTGAGGTCAGGAGGGGGCAGAGAGGCAACAAACACATTCTAGGTGAGCTCTGCCCTTTACACCTCCCTCACTCCCCCATCCCCTGGTTAGGTCACAGTCCCAGGGCCAATTTTAGAAGACTTGCTGGATGGACAAGCGTCTGCTCCCTCAGAAACCCGAGCGTCAAGGCCCTCCGCTGTCTCCTCCTCCGAGGTAGGCAGGCTGCACAGAGAGGAAGGAACGAGGTGGGAGCTGGTTTCGCTTCTCCCACCAAGACGAGGCCAGCCTGTGGCTGGAGGCAGCCCAGCGGCCACAGTTAACTCCCTGCTATCTGGGCCCCAATTGATCTAGGGCTGCAACTGTTTAACTCGAGGCAGACTTCCCCAACTGCTGTCCTCCCTCTCCAGCCAGGGTCTGGGACCTGTGATTTCTTTGCCTCACAGTAGGAACCCTAACCCACCCACACGAATTCTACAGAATTGTAGGAGCTTTCCACTTTGGGATCATTTGCAGTTTGGGATTACAGGAGCCTGGGGCTTACTCTAATGAGTCCCTGAGATGGCAAAAAAGGACTTCTGCCATATCATTAGCCCAAGGTGGGCAGATGGAGGGGACACCGAGAACGAGGGTATGATGGCCAGCCTAAAATCTGTACCCACTGGGCTTTTGTTATCTCTTTCAACCAGTGTCTGTTGAACGCTGCTTTAAGTCAGGCACCATTTCAGGCTGGGAGTTCGTGGGCCAAGGTCCCAAGATACCACAATGTGAGTGCCATAGCCCCAGGACTCAGAGCTTGGACTGCCGGTGGCGTAGGACGCAAAAAGTCCTTTCTTAAGTCAGTCTCTTCATCTGTGAAATGGGGACAAGAATTTCCTCCTCTTTTCTCCTGGAGACCCAGAGCCCACCCAGTCCGGGAAAGCTCTCGGGGAGGGTGGGCTGTCTGAGCCCGCGTTCAGCTCCAAGAGCCCTCAGCAAGGAGCTAAGGGACCTACAAGCACCTGAGCTGAGGGGCGCGGCCAAACCCTCCCTAATGGTCCTTGTAGCTTCGCGGCCCGCTGAAGAGAAGGGGCAGAGGGACGGCGGATTTCCACGTATGGTGGGTGTCCAAGTGTATTCACCCCTCACAAAACGGGGGAGGTCCTCTTATTTTTTAGAAAGTTGTAGAAAAAGAGGTGAAGACGGGACGCGCTGGGGCGCTGAGCCCAGGCAGACGTCGTTCAGAGCGCGGGGAGCTCCAGGCGCAGTGGCTGCGGCTCCGGCCTCAGAGCCTGCGGCGTCAAAGTGGCCAGAGCTGCGCTGGGAGGAAGGCGGAGGGAGGAGGGAGGGGAGCCGGGTGGGGGGGGGGGGGAGGAGGGAGCGGCGAGTCCGGTCCGGGTTTTGCCGGCAGCCCCCGGGCAGCGTTCAGAGCTTCTGCCCGGGCGGGCGCGCGGCGGCGGCGGCTGAGGCGGCGGAGCCTGAGCGGGGATGTAGAGGCGGCGGCGGCACTGGCGGCAGCAGAGGCGGCGGCGGCAGCGAGAGCAGGCGCCCGAGCTTGGCGAGAAGAGCGGCCGAACCTTGCCCCCCGAAGCCGGGCCCCGTGTCCCAGCCCTGCCCAGCCCGCGCCCAGCCATGCGCGCCGCCTGCTGAGTCCGGGCGCCTCACCCTGCGCCCTCCGCCCGCCGCGCCGCGCTCCGCTCTGGGGTGATTAGTTGCTTTTTGTTGTTTTTTAATTTGGGCCGCGGGGAGGGGGAGGAGGGGCAGGTGCTGCAGGCTCCCCCCCCCTCCCCGCCTCGGGCCAGCCAAGGCAGCTTGACTCCGGCTGCGGACCCGGGCTCGGCGGTCGGCGGAGCTGGAGCGGAGCGCACGGCGGCGGCGGTGCCTAGAGCGGAGCGCAGCTCCCCGCCCCGCCCCTCCCCCTCGTCCTCGCGGCGGCGGCGGTGGCGGCTTGGACGACTCAGAGAGCCGGTAGGTGTCGGGCCACGGCCCTCCCCCGACCCCCCCGGAGGCCGGCCCCCTCCCCTTCCCCGCCTACCTCCCTCTCCTCCCCCGGGGCCCGGTGCGCGGCCGGGGCCGGAGTTCGCTGCAAGTCGGCGGAAAGTTTGGCGGCGCGGGCTCCCCCGAAGTTCAGGTGCGGAGAGCCAGGGACAGGGAAGGAAGGGTCCGTGTTTGGGAGGGGCGGGGGACGCCCGCAACCTGAATCCCGGAGCCCCGGAGGCTGAGAGCCCTAGCGCCTGTGATCGTTCGGTGGCTGCCGCTGTACCCAAGCCTCCCCAAGCCGCAGTCGGCGCGGTCGCAGATCACTGAGTTCAGACAAAAAGAGAGGTTTTAGGGTCGGGGACTGCGGGTTGGGCGCCGTGGATTGGGGCTGGGTCTCTCCCTGCGGGGTACTGTCCTCTCCCCAAGTACTCGAGCTGGAGGGCGTTGGGGTGGCGGGAGCCCGGGTCCCCACCTCACGGGGTGGAGCGGGCGCTCCGCCTGCGGGGGCGGCTGATTGGAGATCCCCCGCGCGCACTCCCCCCGTCAGACCCCACTCACAGCCCTGTGTTTTGGGGGCGACGGTAACAGCTCTGAGTGCCCTGGACCACGCGTGGCTGAGTCGACCCCTCCACTTGGAGCGGGCGGCGGCCACATTTTCTCCTCCGGCTCCTCTTCCCCCGTTGCCCGCAGGGTGCCTGGCGGGCTGATCAAGTTTGACCTTTTTTTTCCGTCAAAGTATCACGCCCACCCCCACACCGCGCCCCGCGGCCTCTCTCTCCCTTCCTCTTCAGCCTTGGGGGGTCTTTCAAGCTGTCTCCCGAGCCCCGCGTGGCCAAGCAGCTCGCAAAGCCGGGGAAGGAGGATGGGGGTGTTCCTCTCGCTGCGGAGCTGTGGGAGGCGGGTGTCCCAGGCGCCAGCCTCGCGTTTCTGGCCCCACATTTACCCATGAAGTTCGGCCCCGAACCCCCCTCCCCTTGTGTTCCCCAGAGCGAGGGGCTGAACCGCCGCGGGAAGAATGTGTTAATTTTCTTGCTGGGGGAAGTTGTCCTCTCCCGGAATGAGCTGCTTTCCGGCGGGGAGCGCGGGGTGCGCCTGGCTTTGTTTATTTGTAGGATCGACAGCAAGTGAGTGACCCCAGCTTTTAAATGGGGGGCCGCCTCCGGGACCTGTCAGAAGAGCTGAAGCGCCCAGTGAGGGAGCAAGATTGCATTTTGGTTTTTCCTCTTAGGAATCGGAAGGGGCGCGCGGAGTTGGGCTGGTGCCATGGTCTTCAAGGAGGCACCGGCAGATTTTGGGGGGGGGGGGTTCTGTAGACACTCATCCGGAAAGACCCATTCTCTCTTGTCTCCTGCGATGGGGGTCTGTAGGGTTGGCAGCCGCGCCCTACTTTGCCCCCTGGACCCTGGGTGGTCTGAGAGTCGCGTCTTCAGATTGGGGGGGCTGCAGGGGGGTCCGGAAAGCCAGCCTTTTGACCTCCGTCTTTCTCCGCGGCCGCGCCGCGGGTTCTGTTGGGTTTTGTGGCCGGCCCACCCCCACCCCAACCCCCCGCATTTGCGCAGGAAGCGCTGGGGAGGGGGGCGTGTGTGATGGTTCAGCCCTCGCCCCCGCCCGAGCTGCCCCAGGGCGGCCGGCAGAGTCCCTTTCAAGTTTTCCGCTGGGGCCGCCTGGCGGGGGCTGCGTGCGCGGTCGCTGCGGGCTTGTTTGGAGCGCTATTTGAACGCCCGGCGCCACCTCAGCTGCCCCGGCCCGCGGAGGCGGGGGGTGTCCTCGGTGCAATTGAGAGCATTCAAATGAGACGTTTTTAGGGGACGTATTTACCTCAGCAGGCCTTGATCCCCCTCTCGAAAGACCCCATACCCTGGGTTTCAGCCTCCGTGGGAAACCCAGAAACTGGGATCCGAACGAAACCTCCTCCTAAACCCCTTTTTGAGAGCGCTGCAGAGAGACTGAGGCCGGCGTTACCTACTACTGCGTAGTGTTGATTTAGCAGTTTCCCTGGATGAGAGCGAGAGCTGGGCGGCGGGGGTGGGGGGGCGGGTAGTGGCTCGCTCTGCAGCTGTCACCCCCCCCTCCCAGAACGGAAATTGTTCTCTCTCCTTGGGGAGGAGGGAGAGGGGGTGATTTTTGCCCTGGGAAGGGGTGGGAACTGCTGAAGGAGGTTGCTCTCTGGAGATCTTGGTGGAAGCCCCCCCAACCCCCCATCCTGGCAGAAGCTGAAGCTCTCTCAGGGAAGCCCCTAGCCAGCCTTGCACCTCCCTCCCCCATGCCACCTCCTTTTCCAAGGTTCCTCTGCAGAAGACAGACCCTTGGCTGGCTGGCTGGCTGGCTGTCCGTTGGCGCCTTATTTATGTGTGTGTATTTGGGCCCGGCTGTTTTCTCGGCTCAGCAGGTGACCCTGGCCGGGGCCTCCTATCTCTCCCCCGACAGAGCCTGTTGACTTACCCGTGGGCCAGCGGCCTCGTCTTTATCACGTGAGGCCTGGAATGTCCACCCGGCTGGGCTGGGCTGGGCTGGGCTGGGTTGGGTTGGGTGGGGGAAGGGAAGGGGAGGGGAGGATTCTGCATCCAGGGCCCAGGCCAGTGCAGGCCTGTGTTCTGTGGGCTCCCATTGTGACCCCCCCAACTCTTGCTGCCTTTTCCCAACTTTTTGCTAGCCTCCTACCCATTTGGCAAGTGTGAAACTGAGGCTCATAGGAGTGTGTGTATGGGATGGGCAGGGTTGCATCTGGATAAAGAGCCAAACCTTTAGGAATTAAATATCCCACCCCCTTTAGGACCCCACCTAGTTATTTTGGGAGGGTGGAACGGAGATGGAGTTCTCCTTGGGAGGGAGGAGTGTAGGCTGGGCTGAGGTCAGTTGACTCTCCAGGGTTCAGAATAGGGTAGAAGAATAGGGGAAATACTGAACAGCCAGACCCAGGCCTGCTTTCCTTAGAGCCCCTGTCTGGAGGCCTGATTATGAAGTCAGAACTTCCGAAGTGTGGTGCTCTGGAGCATGCCTTAATTGGTCAAGGATGGGGTGGGGTTCACTTGTTGTTATTGCTGATTTTTATAAGTAATTCACTTATTCATTCATTGACCCAATGTGTGTTTATTGAGCACCTACTATGTGTCTAAGCCCCACCCTTCTGGGGGTACAGAAATGAATCACTGACTCTGCCCCTGCTCCGGAGGCCAGCCCAGGGCAGAAGCTCCACCCTCTTTCCCCACCTCCTGAGGCCCTGATTGGAGGTTTTCTTTTTTTTTTCTTTTTTTCTTTTTTTTTTTTTGCTCAGGTTCTCCCTCTCTTATCCTCATCACCTGGTCTCATTCTAGTCCCTAGTCTCTTGTGTGTGTTACTTGATTAAGTGTATTAATAGTTAAACTCTCACTCATAGCTGGAACTCACCAGACCACAAAAAACCTCCCCAGTTACTCACGCACTACTGCCCAACAAGAATATCCCACTCAAGTTTTTTTTTTTTTGCTTTCTCTTGCTTCCCCCTTTATTCCCCCCAACTCTGAGCCCACCTCCCAAGCTGCAGGCAAAGAGAAAGAACTGGCCCCCGTTCCACCTGCCCCCTAAAGCCAAAACCAGTGTCAGCTGCTAGATGGGGCTGTGTGGATCTAGTCTGTTGGCCTGGGGTGTGGGAATCTAGGCGCCGTGTGTGCTTATGACTCAGGACATGTATATCTGTGAATCTGTGTGTTGAATGTCTGTCTGTCTTGGGGTGTGGGAGTCTGAACATGTGTATCTGTGGATCTAGGAATTACTTCTATGTGCATTGCATTTGTCCCTCTGAATTTGGGAATATGTATATTCTGAGTTATGTATGCTTGGAATTTTGTGGTGTATGTTTGCGATTTGTGTATTTCTGTGTGTTTATATATGCCTGTAAATCCAGGAGTGCCTGATGCTCCCAAAGTTGTGTTATCTGAATAGGGAAAGTGTTTGCGAACCTGGGCATATCTGAGCTGTGTGGGCATTGGTCTATGTCTGTCTTAGGTGGCTGGTGTCTCTGTTCCTTTCTCTTTCTGTAGCTCTGTTCAGCCTGTCTTTCTGAGTCTTCCCCTCTTTGACTGAGACCCGGAGCATGATTGTGTGTAGCGTCGAACCTCTTACCCTGTCCTTTCCCTTCCCTCCTCTCTCCTCCCCTCCCCTCCTCTCCCTTCCCTTCCCCTCCCTGGCAGTAACTGGGCAGCTTCCCCGTCTGCCTGCCTGCTGGGAGTTTTGGAAACCGTGGAGGGAGACAGGCTGGGGCCGGGGTGACAGTGCGTATCCACGTCGATGGCAGCCTGTGATTACAGGAATAAAAGGATTTTAAGGTCATGGGTGTATTTTTTTTTTTTTTGAGCCCCCTGCCTTTGGTGGAGCCAGTGGCAACAAAGGGCCAGAGCTTGGTGTCTGCTAGTTGGGAGTCTGTCCCCATGCAAGTGAACATGGATATGGGGGGCTTTCCTGGGAATATGAACACATGTATGTACATGCATGAGCAGAGCCTGTGAGAGCATGTGTTCCTATCTTCCTGTTCCCTGGGGGAGAATTCCCAGGAAAACTTCTTGCTTCTGAGTGTTAAATGCAGCTGGAACCCTGCAGTTCTCTACCCATCTTCCCCAATCCTCCCAGTAGGGTGTCACCTGGACCAGGCCACATCTCGGGGTGTCAGTGCCCCTGGCCCTGCTCCAGCCCCTGTAATTGCATTCTGCCGCCTAATCCCCCGCCAGCTCAATTAGATCGCAAATTCTTCTTCATTTCCTGCCTCTGATGCTGGCCTCCCTCTGGGCTTGAAGGGCCTAGAAGGGAGGGAGGGCATCCTGCCCTCCTTCCGCCAGCACTAGGGGCTCTTGGGGTGGTGGTGAGATTAGTTCCTGGCACAAGGGCCTTGGGGTGCAGGTTGGAACCTTGGCAGTCAGCAGGACAGGGGTCTGCTGGCCCTTTTTGGACTCAGTATCCCCATGCCTGGGGAGGGGACTTTTGTTATCTGGTACACAGGCTCTGGGTAGACAAGGCAAATCACTCTGGCCAGGCCCCTAGGCCGCCCTCACCCCCGGCCCCTGCAAGCTCTGCCCATCTGGTGCTCCCAGGGCAGTTGCTGGCCATCCCCTGGCACAGGGGTAGTGACCTTGTTTTTCACCTTTTCATGGTGTCCATTCTGGGGGCCAGTGGGACTGCTGAGCTCCCTGCTACTGAGACCTCCTAACCCCCTCCTTTGACCTCACCCAGACAAGTGCGTTTGAGCTCTGGCTCTGGAGTCAGACTTAGTTCCAATCCTGGTCATGTCGCTGTCTCGATGGATATATGACCTTTGTGTTCTATGATCCTCAGATTCCTTATATCTGGAATGGGATAATAGGAGTACCTGGTCCACAAGACCATTTTCAGATGGACACAAGGATGGTTATGCAGTACCCAGCACCAGTGGCTAACTTACAGTCAGCACTCAATTAAAGTTGGCTTTTATGGTGAAGAGGACTTCATATCCCCCAGTGAAAAGGAAGAAAAGAACACGTGGCTCACACTTAGTGTTTCGGTCTCCATTCTGCTAATCCTCAGGTGTGTGACCTTGGGCACATCACTCTGCCTTCTCTGAGTTTCTCTTCCCCAACTCTAAAATGGGACTGATAATAGGCCTGATTTCACAGAGGCTTGGGAGGGTTGTCTGTATGCAGGTGCTTGGCCCCAGCTGCCCCAGCAGGTTTTCAACATATTACTTGCTTTCTTCTACCTTTCCTCACATCAAGCCTGGGTGGGGTGGGGCTGCTGAAGACACAGGCTCAGGGATGAAGGGACTGACCAAGGTCATGAAGCTGGTAATGGGGCCTGGGTGGGGTGGGAGGGCTAAGAGATGACCTGCTGGTTTACTCGCTGGCTCATTCGCTGGCTCAGCTGAGCTTCGAGGCATGGCCTTCCCTCCCCGCTGGTCTCTGTGGAAAGTGGTGGCTTGGTTGATTTTTTCCGTAAAGGAGAAGCGGGAAGTCTTCCCCCTCCTCCCCCAGGAGGCACTGTGGCAGCGGCTGTGCTGACAGGTCTCCTGGCCTTCGTGCTGGGATGGCTGGCAGCTCTGGAAGGCCGGCTGCGCACAGATCAGCTAGAGGGAAGAGGGAACCGCAAAGGTCCCCTGCCATCACTAATCCCCATGGCCCCTCCCACCCTCAGCCTGTCCTCTCTATGGGTGGAAAGACTGAAAGGAGCCACAGCAGGACGAAAGCTGGGGAGACTGGATCTGCTGGAGGTGGTGGAGGGGGACGGGCGGTGGGGGGGCCCCAGTGGGGGGCGCCCCGTATCTCCCTCACTGCTCTCCTTATTTCTATGACCTCTGTCACTCATTGGCCTGGGCTCTTTAATATTTCATGGCCCTTGGAGTCAGCCCCCTGCCCCAGCTCACAGGCCCCCTTTGTCTGCCTGCCGCTGAATTGCTGAATTACTGACCCGAGGCTGCCTCTGCCTTCCCCCAGCTGGCCCTGACACTTTCCCTGTCCCTTCTGACCTGCCTCCCTGACACCTCTACTTGTCACACCCTCCATCTCTCATATTCATCTTCTCCCCTTCTCTCACATCTCTGACCATCTCTTTGCCCTTTTTCTCCATTTTCTTCTTTTGTTGGCCTCCTCCTTCCCAGCAGAACAGAAACCTCAGCAACTGGTCTGCTTGCCTGCCTCGCCCCTCCTGGGTCCACCCCTTCCTGCCCCCTCCCCCCAGCCATGCTGGCCGTGAGAGCTGGTTTTATTTATTTTTCTGTTTGTTTGGGAAGAGGGCAGTGGCAGTTTTGGGCCCTGGCTGCTGTGTTCTGCCTAGAGCAGCGGGCAGGCCGGCTGTGCTGGCCTCCCAGGAATGTGGCCGGGACGCCCCGCGCTATATTTACTCCCCTCCAGCTGCCGGCCCCAGCAGGGCAAAGCCAGGCCTGCCTGGTGGCCCCGGGGGGAGCCCAGTACCCACCCTCCCCTGTCTAGCAGACCCCACATGGCCCTTGGGCCCACTGTTCCCTCCCTTCTCTGTGACCTCCACTGACCTCCTAGGACTTTCCTGGCCTGCCAGCAGGAACACTCGTTCGTGTGGCCAGTACAGCCATAAAGTGGGGGCTCTAGGGCCTGATTCGTGTGGGCCAACACCTGGTGGCGCCCCCCCACCCCACCCAGGGGCCTAGCCTAGGCCTGTAATCTGGTGGCCGGAACTATGTAAAGCATCTTTCTGGGCCTCTCCCCACCGGGCCTGGTCCTTGTTCTTGCCACATCCCATGATCACTGGCAGGGGTGGGTGGGGTAGGGGGGCCTGACCTGGCATGAGCAGCTGTGTTCCCTGTACTGCTGCTCCGCTCCCACATAATTTGCCCTCTGTTGGAACTCCCAGGTCCCTCACGTGAACATATGTGTGCACACCTAAGTGTCCTCACATATATGTGCAATATGCATGGACACATGCTGGATTGTGCCTGCCTTGGAGGCAGGGCCATGCCTCCTGTCACTGATTCCTCATTCGTCAGATGCTTATGGGACTTTGAGCCTGCTCCTTGCCAGCCTTGCAGTGGGTTGTGGCAGGGATTCCTTGCCGTTCCCCCAGTGCCTGGCACCAGCTAAGCATTTGAAGAGCTCTAGTTGCTGCTCTCATCAGTTGCTGTCCCCCAACAATAATAAGTTGTAACGATGGTAATGACAATGGCTAACTGGCACTGTGTTTCTACCCTTCACTTTCCTTGATCTTCAGAGTAGCCCATTGAGTTGGGTACTCTTAACATCCCTATATACAGAGAGAAAACTGAGGCTGGAGAGTTTGTGACTTGCCCCAGGACATGCCACTGACAAGTGGAATTAGGACGTGGCAGAGCCTTTCCTTGCGTGTCTGTGAACACCATAAGCACAGCCATGGTTGGTCTGCATATGGTTTTTCCTACACCTTCCACACTGCCTGGCACACAGCAGGGACTCCCTAAATGCTTGCTGACTACAGGCTTTACTCTCTTTCCTTCTTGACATCCCCATATCCCTGTCAAGGATCCTCGCATGTAGTGGGAAGATGGGCTGATTGACCAGTTGGGTGAATGAAAGAATGAATTAATGATCAGATGATTACTTGTGTGAATGAGCGCTCTCAACAGACATTGGGATGGGAGGTGTGCTTGTGATCAGATCACTGTGTGGAGATCACTGGCCCTCTAGAGAATCATTGGGGCAGAGGTGGAGGATTGGGCTGAGAGATGTGGCCAGAGACCAGTAGGCCGCTGGGGCTGAGCTCTTGGGACAGGTCACATCTCCCTGGACCTCAGTCTTCCCATCTATCGAATGGGCCTGGGAGCCTTTGTCCTGGCTGGCTGCCTGCTGGCCTGAGCTGGGGCTGGCCTGGGAGCCTGAGAGGTGAGGGGACTGGTGGGAGGAGGAAGCAGTGGGTGGTGAAGACAGGAAGGTGAAGCGTGGAGCTTGGCTTGGAACCTGAGAAGCAGGGAGACCAGCCCTGACCTGACGCCCGTCCTCCCTCTGAGCTTCAGGGTGGGGGTGCAGGCGCACAAGCCTTTAGCTACCCACTCTTGCTCTGGTGAGGGCTGGGCTTCCTGGCATCTGCACAGCTGTGGCCGTGTGTGCCCTGAGGAGCTGGTCTGTTCTCCAGAACTAGACCAGCTATATCCGCAGGCCCTCAGCTCCCCACCCCGGCCTCACATCCACTTCCTGTTCACCCTGATGGGAGAGACTCGGCCTCTCAGCTCCCCCAAAGCTAGATGGAAAATTGGTTAGCTGGACCCCTTGAGTGTCAGATCTTGCTGGCCTAGAATTTTTAGTCGCAGGAGCCTAGAATCATAGAGTGCTTGGAGCAGAGGAATTCTTGACTCAGGATTCCTATCCTGTTGAGATTCTAGAGTCGCAAAACCATGGGTTTTACTGCTAGAGGGGAGCATGAATGGTCCTGTTTCAGTTTTGTTTGGTGCTAGGGGACATTGAGGATAGGAAGGGAGGGGCTTCCCTGTGGTGCCTTCAGGTGACAGGAGGATACACCTGAGGCAGAACCCCAGTTCTGTCACTGGCCTACTGCTCTTTAGAGATCCAGCCAGTGTGGAGAGTGGGTTGTGTGGCAGCAAGGGGATGTGGCTGGCCTGCAGGCACAGGAGGGGTCCTCTTGGTGGTGCCCACCCGCCCGCTGCCCACGCTTCCCGAGGCACCAGTGTGAGGAGGAAATGCAGGCTGTTGCTTCCAGCGACAGCCGGCAGGGCCGGGCGGCTTCCCAGCTCCCCCTATGATTCATGGCTGCCTGCAGCTCCCCCCTCCCCTGGGGGCCTCAGCAGCCCCATCTGTGCAATGGGAGAGGGCGCTCTACCCCACCGTCTACTGTCACAAAGACAATGCAGTTGGGATTCTTTTCAAGACCACCGTCAGGCTGTGGGAGAGTAGCCTCAATCAATTAGCCAGCTGGACAGTTGGACCTAAAGCACTCAGAAATCCTTCTTGGAGTCGCTCTAATGCCTCCACTAGCTTGGAAGGTCTAAACTGGTGCAGAAGGTGTTGGTGTAGGGTTAATGCATAGAGAAGGGTCCTGCAGTCAGAGTCTCTTTCCTTGAGGAAGTCAGAGCAGTGAATGGGAGGGCTAGCTCACCAGGCTGTCGCCTGACCTTAGTATACCTGTCTGTAAAATGGAGGGTGTTATTCCATGAGGTCATTCATTTATGTGCTGTGGGCACTAGGGATGTCAAGGCAAGTAGTGGGGCGGAGAGGGGTCTCCTTGACTGCAGACATGGGGTGGGAATGTGATTTGGCTGAAGGAGTGACTCGGGAAGAAGGAATGAGGTGGGGGAGATAAGGAGCTGGCCAGTTAGGCAATGTCTAGCGGAAAATCCCAGCTGATCTCAGGAAGTGTTTCCTCTGCTGGTCTCCTGGGAGGCAGGCAAGGCAAGCAGGAAGAAGCCTAGCTGGGGGCAAATAAGGCCCCCCAGCCAGTCCAAGTGGAGACATCCTAGGTCTGGCAGCTGGGTGGGTGTGCCCCTCACGCTGCAGGGCTGGAACATATCCCCTTGCCCCATGCTCTGAGGCTGGGCCTGTGGTGGGGGGTCGGAGCTGCCAGGAGGGGCTGGACCATAGTCCATATTTCAAAGCCTTGCCCAGGGGCTTCTTGGTAGCCCCCACCCTGTCCTGCCCTGTCCTGAGCTGCCATAGCGGGGGTGGCAGATGCTGTTTCATCGCTGAGGAGAGTGGGAGGCCTCCGGAAGGTCCTCCTGGGAGGTTCCGGGGGGCAGCGGGGGCGTCGGCAGCTGCCTCCCAGTGAGCTGGCTCAAGCGGCCTCCCAGGTCCCTTAGTCCCCCAGGCCTAAGGGTGGGTGGTGGTGCCTCGGAATTGAGACTGGTTCCTCCTGCCTTCGCTACCCCCGCTGCCCACCAAGCTTCTTGGCTCTGGCCCCCTCCCATCCCTGGCTGCGTCTGCAGAGCCCCCCGGGGAAGGCAGGGGAGGAGGCGCAGCGGGCTCAGAACAGCGGGTGCCCGCGCAGCCAAGTATTTGCGCGAGCTGTCAGAGACAGACAGGCATGTGGGGAATTTGGTGCGTGTGGGGCTGGGGGAAGCAGCCGGGTGGGCAGGCAGG